CATGACTTTTGGGTTTATTTTCTGGCGTTTCGAGGTCATGCAACATGAATTTATGACTATATCCACTTTTTCGTATGTATTAGTATATGTTAATTTTGTAAAAAAAAATTATGGACTCTGATTGGCCTAAAACTTTTTAGGTCCAATAAAAATGACCTAGTGACCAATACTCATTGCTTCCCCATAAATTTCGAGTTCAGTTTCTGGCGCTCGAGGTCATGCAATACGAATTTGTGATTATATCTACTTTTTGTATGTATTTTTTTAAACCCCTCCCAAATTAGGAGGATCTATAGTGTTTTCACACTTCCCCTCCAGCGTGACTCGAACCCAGGACCTAACGGTCGTAGGTGGATACATACTTATAGGACTTTTTTTACGGACTCTGATAGGTTTGAAATTTCATAGGTACATATGACGAGCGCAAAAAACAACATGAAAATTAATGCTCGCTAGCCAAGGATAGTATGGTAAAATTACCGTCTCCACAAATTGGATTTAAATAATGTTCAATTAACTTATGATTTTCTGCTATTCAGGATGATCAATACTTGATTTGGGATAATTACTGACTATAATTAAATACTAAATTAAGATTACAACTAATTAGACTTGATTACAGAGAATGATAGTTGAACTAAAATGGTTTGTAAACAATATGAGAAATAAGGGTCGCGACATGATAGATGTAGGAAAGCTATCCGGGATCTAACTCTGTTTAAATTCACATCTAATGTTCTGATGATTCTCACGAATTCACTCGATAATTAGCTTAAACGTAAAGTCAAGATTCCTCTCTATATTAAATCTGAACTCTACAAAATAAAGTAATATGGATCACTGTGAAGATATGCAAAACACGTTAATGGACTAGTCTTTAGGAAAACGTCTCTCGAATATTCTCCTAACTTGGTTTAATCAATAACTCAAGAAGCTCTCTCGATTACTTAGAAGAATCACTAAATTAAACTAAATAAAATAATGCAAAGATAATCACCAAAATATTCCTCTTTCGATATAAACCGATGAATAAATTTGCAATCAATTCAAAGCTCCATAAACGAATTCATGCAATTAAACTAGAGTTAAATCTACAAACAACACTCAAAATACCATATCCGTCAAAACCCTAAGGAAGAACTACTCTATAGATATGAAGAAAGTTATCATAAATAAGTTTAAGAACATAGAAAACATCAAACACAACTTTAAAATTCAAACTCTTATTTTGCATCGATTGTTGGCAAGAGAATTGATGAAATCTTGTGTTTTCAAGCCGTGGTTGCTTTCTTAGGTCTCATTTATTTTTTTTAAGATTAAGACATCTGAATCTGAATACATGTCTGAATATCAAGATGTGTGTTAAGATTAAGGGATCTGAATTTGAATACACATCTAAATGTTAAGATGTGTATTAAGATCTGAATACTAAATGATTAAGACCGTTTGATTTTTAACATCGGAAGGTATAAAATTTACGTTTATTTAAAAATTAATAACATAAAATTCAAATAAAATACTAATTAATCTAATATTCCATCACTAAAATATATAGTTTTTTTTAAAATATGATAGTTGTTGGTGGTGATGGCTAACGGTAGTGCTTGTGAATGTCGACTAAAAGCGGTGGTTAGTGGTAGATTTGGTTGATGGTGGTAGTTTAGGGTAGTATCTAGTGGTGATTGGTAGTGGTAGCTATTATGATTGAGGATGGTAGTAGTGGGTGGTGATAGTTAATAATGGCGGGTAGTGGTAGTGGTAGTTGTGATTGAGGAAGATGGTGGTGGGTGGTGGTAATTTGTAATGATGGGCAGTGCCAGCTATTGTTATTGATGGTGATGGGGTGGTTAGTTGTGGTAGTTGAGGCGGATGAGTGTTGGTTGTCATTGAGAATGATAGTGGTGAGAATGGTAGGGATGGTGGGTGGTGGTAGTTGACAATGGTGGCGGCTATAATTGAGGATGGTGGTGGTGGTGGTTGAGTATGGTGGTGGTGGGTGGCATGGTGATAGTTGATAATGGTAAGCGGTGACGGCAGTTAATAATGAATATGGATGGTAGCATCTTAATGAAATTAAGTCTCTGTTATAGATCTTAATGATACAGACCTATTCAGACCCATTAAGTGATTGTGAAGTAAAAAAAACAAACATACTTAACAATTAAGATCTGTATAATTAAGATTCAGACTTTAAAAACAAACGCATTTAATGTCTGAGATCTGAATAATTAAGATTCAGACCTCCATTAAGTAAAAAAAAAAAAAAAAAAAAACCT